AAACTATTTTGTCTTGTTAAATAGACAGAAATAAAAATATCTGCAAACAGCGATATGGGGCCAAGCCCCTGAAGAGGCTGTAGCACAGTGCAGAGCAGGAAGAGCAAAAACAGCAGAAATTTAATAAACATGGAAAACAGCCGGTTCAGAACTATAGGTGAGAATGAACAGAAGTTCAAATGACACAGCGTGGATAAAATAATTTTTTTTCTCGAATTCAGGAGGAATAAAAGTGTGTACAATGCTGATCTGGATAATAAAGGGATCAAAACAGCACAACATTACGCACAATTTTATAAAGTTGCACCACACGTGACTCAAACCAACAATCTCCAGGTCAAGTGCCCATCAATCATTTCTGTGCGGTAGTGAAAACTTTTTCATTTACTTCAACATGCACATTAATGAAAAAATGACATGCTGTCAGAATCGGCATAACCCAGGAAATGAAAGGATACAAAAATAACAATTTGGACAATATTTTAAGTTAAGCGTTTTTGCATAAATCATATCTCTGGAATGCTACGTGGCGCTTTATTAAAACTTCTCAGGTACCTCCGGGACATGGTGTCGATGATCCCTACCCATTTTTGTGCAGATGTCAAATTGTTCAATAGATATAGCAATTTATGACAAATTTCAAAATGGCGAACAGGCAGTTTGTCCGATCGACATCTACAGATTCGGCATGACCCAAGGAATCCACAGACACAAAGATCATGATTTTCTGACAAACTGTTATTAGCAAAAATAAGCATTTTTGGCATCTCATGATCCATAGGTGGCACGGTTACCAAATTTGGCATGGAACCTCAGATCATAGTGTTGATGAAGCATACCAAGTTTCGTTTCAATTGACCAAAATTTGGTTCAGAGGCTGAATTTCAGCCGAACTTTGATCAATTTCATTAAGTTTGAGACATCATAACTTTTGAACGAAGATGAATATCAAAATTCTGATCAGTCATTTCTATGAAGCTCAGTTCAAAGATCATCTGAGCCAATTTTGGTAAGAATTGGACAAATTTTGAAGGAAGAGTAGTGAAAAAGAAAT